TTGAATGCCCCTGAGGTCAATCCCCAGTAACCTCCCTCCCCCGAAAAAAAATGTGGAGGCTGGCCTTGAACTTGTGATCCTCCTGCCTCAGCCTCCCCAGGAGCTGGGATTATAGGTGTGCACCACTGCTCCTGGCCAGTGTTACAATCTAAAATGCTGAAACCCTGGGAATTCCTCCCCCAGTATCCAGCAGACAGATCACATTTTCCTGTATCCTCTCGCAACTCTTCACTTTGTCTCCTAGGGTTTCTAGCACATGGGCCCTTCTTGCTCTTCAGTGAATATTGAACTCACCCAAATCCTGGCCCCAACTACCTCAGTATGAAATTTGGGTCTCAACCAATCTCCAAAGAGCCAATAGAGAAATCTTTGGGGTAGACGGGCATTTGTTTAGAATGGGTTCATGATCCTTCTGTAACATTCAGGTGAAGCCAGGATTTGGGGGATTCCTGGAAGTAAACATTATCACTTTGTGAAAGGGAGAAAAATAAAAGAGACCAAACAAAAGACAAAGTCGGTTTTAAATTAAACATTACTAATGCTTTATTATTTTAAGTGGAAACATTAGCAAGAAAAATAACTGAAAAGAAGAAAAGGAAGATGAGCTAACAAAGCATCCTGTTACGACTCTGTCCTCTTTGGACTGGTGGCTCCGTCTGGGAGACTAGCTTCCTTTCCCACAGCCAGCGACACAGCTTGTCTGTCTGTGTCTTAACTCTCTCCTCCAGACTTGGAGAGTTTCTTCTTATGTCTTGTATTTGTCTTCCTGAATTTATTTGCAGGCGTTTTTTTTTTTTTTTCTATGACGAATAAACACAAACCTTTTTGTATCTCGTTTGTGAACTGGGTGTTGCTTAAATAGAAGAAAAATACCGATGGGTAGACAATGGGTGATATATTGTAAAAGTTGAGTTTGGACCCTCGAATCAGATTTCCTGATTTGAGCTCTACCCCAACAAGACAATTGAGGGTGAGTTGCTTAATGTCCCTGGGCTTGTTTCATCTTCTGTAAAATATAAATAATGGTTCCATCTTGTAAGACTACTGTGTATCTAGACACATAGATATGTACACACCTTGCTTGAAACAGTGCCTGGCACATAACTGTTTGTTTCATATTCAATGGTTTTCTAAACTCTTTTTTTCATCTTTTCTTTTACTTATTTTTATTTGTTCTTTAATATGTTTAGATATACATGACAGTAGAGTATATTTTTACACACTAGACATACATGGCGTACAACTTCCCATTCTTGTGGTTGGACATGATGTGGAGTCACACTGGTTGGGTGTGAAAACAGGGAAGTGATGTCTGATGCATTCCACTGTCTTCCCTTTCCCATCCCCCCCTTCTCTTCATTCCCCTTTGTCTAATCCAATGGCCTTTTATTCTCCCCTCAACACTTATTGTGTGTTAGCATCCACATATCAGAAAGAACATTTGGACTTGGTCTTTTGGGATTGGCTTATTTCACTTAGCATGATATTGTCCAGTTCCATCCATTTACCAGCAAATGCCATCATTTTATTCTTCTTTATGGCTGAGTAATATTCCATTGTGTATATAGACCACATTTTCTTTATCCATTCATCAGTTGAAGGGCACCTATGTTGGTTCCATAACTTAGGTATTGTGAATTGAGCTGCTATAAACATTGATGTGGCTGCATCACTGTAGTGTGCCGATGTTAAGTTCTTGGGTATAAACCAAGGAGTGGGCTAGCTGGGTCAAATGGTGGTTCTATTCCAAGTTTTCTGAGGAATCTCCATACTGCTTTCCATAATGGTTGTACCAATATGCAGTCCCACCAGCAGTGTATGGGTATACCTTTTCCCCCACATCCTTGCCAACATCTAAACTTTTCTTGATGTTTCTTTTGGTTAATTCTCTTGGGTCTTTGGGTACTAACATTTGCTAGCAATAGTAATTTCATATCCTCTGAACCCAATGGTTATGACATATATTTATTTTGTATTGAAGTTTTATTAAAAACAACAACTCTCTTTAGACATATACTGAATATTGAGGGCCAAAATGAAATGATGATCTAGGGTTTGCTTCAAAATCACTGTGGGATGAGGAGAGAGGAGGCTATAGTCTGAATTAATCAATACAAGTAATAAATTATAGGATATAGATTAAAAATATGGATAGTGAGTATAGCCATCACCATGGCTACTACTCCATCTTCATGGTTCCCATGGGAAACTCTTATATAAGCTGTTTTTTAAAAAAGAACTTAAAATTTGTTTTTCTGTGCCTCATGCATCTGTAATGGACTTGAACCCAGGATGTGGCCCCACAGCTGTGCTCGAACCCGGGACGCAGCTGTCTGCTCTGCTCACTGCTTTTCTCGGCCCCTGGACCCTGTTGCTTGCAATTCCCAGGTTCCTCAGGATGTGGTCTTCTTCCCTAAAGACTGGAACCACAGACAGCCTGGTGCGCTTCTATCGAGGCCTTTTGGGATGGCAGAAGCGTCCCTGGCCAGGAAAATATAGATAAAATAAAATTCTTTGATTTGTTCCAAATTCGGGCTTAGTGTGTTTTGGGAGCGGTCGCCTCATAACATGGAGACCACAGCCCAGGCGGGGCCCAGAGGAAGCGAGATTGAGTGGCAAATTATTTAAGCTGGATGACAGGCTGTGGGGTTTGTTAGACTCATCTCTACAGTTTTGTCTTGAAATCTGCAAGATAAAAAAGTTAAAAAACAGGCGCTGTTGTTTGGGTCTTGAGTATCCCTGGAAGGTTAAAGGCTCGGTCCCCGGAGTGGCAGTGGAGGGGTGCAGCGTTTCAGGGGTGTCCCGTGGGAGGTGGTGGTTTTTTTGATACTGACAGTGCAACCCAGGGGTGCTCTGCCACCAAGCCACATCCCCAGCCCTTTTTATTTTTTATTGTGAGACAGGGTCACGCTAAGTGGCTGAGGCTGTTTCAAACATGCGATCCTTCTGCCTCGGCCTCCAGAGCAGCTGGGATCACAGGCCTGAGCCGTGGTGCCTGGCCCTACTGGAGGTCTTCAGTATGTCGCTGGGAGTGAGCCGAAGGGGGATCATGGGATCTAGCCCTTTCCTCCTTTTCTCTTTTGCTCCTGGGCCATGAGGTGAGCAGTTTTACGTGCTCCTGCCAGGTTGTGGAGCTTTGCCACGGGCCCCCAAGCAAAGAAGCCAATTGATATGGATGAACCCTCCAAATCTGCGATCCCCAAACCACTCTCTTCTCTGTATCAATCTCAGGTGTTTGTTCAAGTGATGGGACGCTAACACGGTAAGTGACTTACTTCAAGGCAAGAACCAACATCACRTTTAGCGGCCAACATTAGCAACCCKCCTGTTAAAAGGAGAACACATCTGAAAATAGCAGMCAACGCCATCCAACAAGAAAGAGAATATCCAGGTAAAAATACTGCTCAGGAAAAGAGAGACTCATTGCCTGCAGTTGCTTGTTTCACTTGAAAAGCCAAGAGAATCAACTGGAATTCCATAAGAATTAARACATGCCAGGAGCCCGGGGTTGTGACTTAGTAGCAGAGTACGTGCCTAGAACATGTGAGGCACTGGTTTGATCCTCAGCACCACATAAAATTAAAACAAAATAAAATAAAATAAAGGTATTATGCCCGTCTACAACTAAAAAGTAAAAAAAAAAAAAAAATCCTAACAGGCTAACCAGACACAAAACAAATATATATGTATATATGCACACATGTATTTTTAAATAATCAATCACAATGACCAATAGGAAGCTCTGCGTATCAGAGAATACATTTAAAATAGCCATAATTTTTTTGTTGTTAAATGTCAGAATTTAGGTGAAGTAAAATGCAGGAATGCTTTGAAAAGCATTTTAAAAACAAAACAAAATGGCATATCTTTATACAGGAGAGGTCCAGTTTTCACCTTTCTCCCCATGGGCTGGAAGTGAGCACCACAGCGACCTCACAGGGTGAGGAGGTTGGTGAGATGTTACAGTGTGCAACACAGAGCCAGGGACCCTCATTCACTCAACAAATGTTTAATGATCATCTGTTACATGCCAGGTACCTTTTGTTGTTGTTTTTGATTTTTTGGGAATAGAGCAATGACATAGACCCAACTTTTTTTTCCCCAGAATTTTATTTTATTTATTTACTTTGCAAACACTCTACCACTGACTCCAGCCCAGATCCAAATCTTTTTCTTTAGAAAATTGACATTCCAGACAGATAAACAAAAGACCAAATAAATTCCTGAAATGTAGTGTTGGATAGTGAAAAGTTCTCTAGAGAAAAAAGAATAATAATAATAAAGATGAGGGAGAAAGCAGGAGCGTGAGGGACCCGAAGGATTTGATTGAAAATTTATAACGGGGGTCAGGCAATGCCTCCTAAGAGAAAGACTAGCACCTGAACACCAGGGTCGGAACCACGTGATCTCCGACAGAAACTGCCTGTCGGGCAGCAGCAATCTGTGCAAGGGCCCTGTGGTGGGAGTCTTCCTAAACTAATTGGAGAAGAAAGCGGCTTGGAAAACAGACTGGAGCCGAGGAATAGAGGAAAGTAGGGGCGGGGGAGAGGAAAGGGGAAACAAATCCTTAGGGTCTACAGCTAGAGAAAGACCTCAATTTAAGATACAATAAAAGGATTTTTATTTTACGAAGTACAAAAACATCACGTCCTTGAAGGGTCCTCGACGGTAACACGGGCCGTCTTAAGTCTCCCAGCAGGGGCCCAGGAGGGTCCCCGCTGACGCCATCGGATGGGCGATTCCGCCGAGCGTTTAAGCCCGGCCCGTCAGCCACTAACCGCACGCCACTGCCCTGGCTCGGCCTCCGGGTCGGGTCCTCTCCGAGCCCCGCAAACGTTGCGGTTGCTGCAAACTCTGAACCCCTGCGCCGCGCTCCGGTTCCGCCAGGCCCCGCCCTCGTTCAGAGGAGAGGGAGCTCCGCCCGCCCGCCTGCCGCTGAGGCTTCTGGGACTTGTAGTTCCCGCTCTCCGCGGCGGTGCACTTCCGGGTTCGGCCAGAGCGCAGCCATTGTCCCGCGCGCGGTCGCCTGTTTAAGGCCCCGCACTACAGCCCTTAGGAGTTAACTCGGAGCGGCCTTGTGGATGCTGACTAGGGGAGGGACCAGATTAGTTCAACCCGTCTCAGACGTGACACAGGACCGAGGCAGGGGGCTGCTTAACCCGAGAGCGTCCAGTCACAGAGCCGTGCGGGGCACTGAGACGGAGACTGGCCGGACCCGAGCAGCGGGCCCGGACCCCAGGTCGGTGGGGCGGGGGCGGGGCAGTGCTTGTCTGATACGCGCATGCGCAGGGCTTCGGCGGGAAACTGGAAGAAGTGATGAGTGAGGGTGGGCGTCTCCTAGTGGGTGGTGGTTTAGTCTCGGTCGCGGAGGTTGGTAGAGACTTTGAGGCTGATGCGACTGGAGTCAGCGCGCATGCGCAGATTAATCAGGCGGGGGGTTTTTATTTGGGTAGGTGGATTCCCAGGTGGGTGAGGACCAGGCAGGGATACGGGGGGGGGGGGGGGATCTTGAGAAATCCAGCCATCCAATGCTATGCCTGTTTAGTGGCTGGCTTCCCGGTGCCCAGGTTGTTGAAGTACTGAATCGCAGATTCGGGTTCCTGGAGGGAGGGGCTGTGCCACTGTCCTTACACCCCTGAGCAGGGGATTCTGGGCAGGTAGCTCTGGGACCCTGGGCAGACACTGTTCTCGCAGGCTTGGGGACACCCGTGCTTGGTGGAGAGACCTTGTTGGAGTTGCGGGTTCTTCCCCAGGAGAAGCAACGTTGTTCAAGGAGCTCTAATAGGCAGCAGAGTTCCAGGTTGAGGATACCAGGGGCAGGCTTTGGACAGAATGTTCCTGCACACACTGGGGTTATCTAATGGGAAGCAGGAATTGGACTGATGATCCTGGACCCGTATAGGATAGAGCACAATTCTAGGACATTCAAGTTCTTGGAGATGCTTGGTTGTCGGTACAAAATCAGCCCAGGAAGGACTGAGCTGCAGCAGCTGCCATCAGATGGACAGCTGTGTGGGGAGAAAGCAGGATGCTACTAGTATGAAGTCGTTGTTGGCTTTGTTTGGGCCACTCTGCTTTCAGGCATGGAGAACGCCTAGGTTGGTAGAGGGACAGAGTCTAGTCTGCAGACATGGGTCTGGAAGGGACTGACTGCATGACAGTCAGGCTGTCATGTTTGGGCAGGAGGAGATGAAAGGATCCGGTTTCCATAAGAACATCTCTAATTGGGCTTGAGAATCCCCAGGTGGCAAATGCCCAAGTCCTGGGACTGATTCTGGGGAGCAGTGCTCAAGCTACTGCTTAGATGTTCTAGTGTTTTGACTGCAGACAGGCAGTGGAGCAGGTGACCCCAGAACCTGTGGGGAGGCTGGTGAGTGTCTGAGGTATCCCAGGTACTTTGAGATGTAGAGTGAAGGATGCATGTTCTCAGCTCAGGAGCATGGACTCCACAAGACCCCACACTGGCAAAGGGCCTGGGTCTGGGTGAGAACCTGCACCATATACGTGTTGGTGTGCCATGGAAGCAAGGAGCCTAGGGGGTGGCCTCTGTGCAGTGGCTGCTGGGGTGGAGGCCTTGAGCGAGAATCTGGAGAGGTGAAGTGGTGTGTAAGGAGAGACGGAGCACGGGGGGATGGGGTACATTATGTGGGATTTGCCAGGGGCTCTCTAGTCTCAGATGCAAAGACATCCGATTGATACAAAGACAACTGAGTTACTGAGGTGCACTTTCTGGGCCTGGGAAGTGCTGCCCTTGACTGGCATGTGCTGGCATCTGCCAGAGGTTCCCAGTCCTAAGCAGACTCAGTTGCAGTTTCAGGCCCAAGAACACCCAAGTTGGCAGAGGAACCAGGTCAGAACTACAAATTCAGAGCCCAACAGGGTGTTGGGTGAGCAGCTGTGTAATGGATGCTCTGGTAGACAATGGTGGGACCCTGACCTGGCTGCAGTTTGGACTCTGAACATATGCTTTGACATTTGAGCAGAAAAGGGAGGCCGTCTTCAAAGAGTTGCTGGAAGGCCAGGCCCGGCTGCTGGAAGGGTAGGCTAGGTGTTTGTTACTGAATCAATACCTGGGAGTGGTGGCGCTGTGTCACAAACTTCATGCATGTAGTCAGTGGGTGTGATTCTGGGACAGGAGAGCCAGAGCCCTGCTGCTGGTCCAAGACAGAGGACCTGGTTTGAGATTGCAGATTCAGGTCCGGAGGGCAGAAGGGTATGTACTTGGGGGTTCTCCAAGTGGTAGGTGTTGCCAGAACCCAGTGGAACAGGGGAGGAACTGATCTATGATGCAGATTTTGGTGGTAGGCAGGAAACCTGTTTGGGCATGAGGTGGGCTTACAGGTAGGTGGTAGTGGAGGAGCTGGGTTGGAGCCGCAGAGGCTTGGCCTGCAGGAGGACTGAGGGACTCTTGGGAGGAAACCTCTAGGAGCACATTTGACACGGGGAATGCATCCAGGGATTGGTGGCTAATCCAGGGGCCAGGTTGGTGTTGGGGATAGCAATGCCAGCAGATGTGCATGGGCATGCTGTATGATGCTATACTCAGGCCTTGTCCTCTCAATGCAGTTCAGTACCCGGCCGTGCCTGGAGGACAGTATGGAAGGACAGGATGAGAAGCCCCCAGGACCCCTTAAGGCCTGCACACAGGTGAGTGGAGCCACTGTTCCCCCAAGAGTTCCAGAGCTTGCTCCTCCTTGGGCCCCACAGGCTCACCCTCTGGGTACTCCTTGTAGCATTTTAGGGGCTTTGGTGGCCAGGAAGCTTTTTTTTTTTTTTTTTAAATTTAAATTTGTTTTAACTAGTTACATGACAGTAGGATGCGTTTATTTATGCACTTTGATATACATAGATGGGATATAATTTCTCATTTTTCTGAGTGTACATGTTGCAGAATCACTGGTCATGTAGTCACATATATACATGCATTAGTAATGTCTGTTTCATTCTACTATTTTTCCTATCCTCACATCCCCTCCCTTCCCCTCCTATCACTTCCCTCTACCTAGTGCCCCCTGCCTTATTGTGAATTAGCATCCACATATTAAAGAAAACATTCGGCCTTTGGTTTTGTGGGATTGGCTTATTTCGCTTAGCACGATATTCTCCAACTCCAACAATTTACTGGCAAATGTCATAATTTCACTCTGCTTTAAAGCTGAGTAATATTCCATTGAGTATATATACCACATTTTCTTTATCCATTCATCTCTTGAGGGACACCTAGGTAGATTCCATAGTCCAGCTATTGTGAATCGAGCTGCTATAAACATTGATGTGTCTGTGTCACTATAGAATGCTGATTTTAAGTCCTTTGGGTATAAGCCAAGGAGTGGGATAGCTGGATTAAATGGTGGTCCCATTCCCAGTTTTCTGAGGAATCTCCATACTGTTTTCCATAGTGGTTGCACCACTATGCAGTCCCACCAGTAGTGTATGAGTGTACCTTTTTTCACCACATCCTTCCCAACATTTATTGTTGCCTGTATTCTTGATGATTGCCATTCTGACAGGAGTGAGGTGTAGAGTAGTTTTGATTTGCATTTCTCTAATTGCTAGAGATGTTGAACACTTTTTCATACATTTGTTGATCAGTTGTATTTCTTCTTCTGTGAAGTGTCTGTTCAGTTCCTTAGCCCATTTATTGATTGGGTTATTTGTTTTTTTGGTGTTAAGTTTTTTGAGTTCTTTATATATCCTAGAGATTAATGCTTTCTCGGAGGTACATGTGGTAAAGATTTTTTCCCAATCTGTAGGCTTTCTCCTCATGTTAATAATTGTTTCTTTTGCTGAGAAGAAGCTTTTTGATTTGAATCCTTTCCATTTATTGATTCTTGATTTTATTTCTTGCGCTTTAGGAGTCTTGTTTAGGAAGTCAGATTCTAGGCTGACATGGTGAATATTTGGGCCTATTTTTCCTTCTTTTAGGCACAAGGTCTCTGTTCTAGTGCCTGAGTCTTTGATCCACTTTGAGTTGATTTTTGTGCAGAGAGATAGAGGTTTAATTTCATTTTGCTACATATTGATTTCCAGTTTTGCTAGCACCATTTGTTGAATAGATTATCTTTTCTCCAGTGAATGTTTTTTAGCATCCTTGTCTAGTATGAAAGAACCATATTTATGTGGTTTTATCTCTGTGTCCTCTATTCTGTACCATTGGTCTACAAGTCTATTTTGGTGCCAATACCATGCCACTTTTGTTACTATGTAGCTCTGTAGTATAGTTTAAGGTCTTGTATTGTGATGCCTCCTGCTTCACTTTTCTTGCTAAGAATTGCTTTAGCTAATCTGGTTCTTTTATTTTTCCAAATAAATTTCATGATTGCTTTTTCTATTTCTATGGAGAATGCCATTGAGATTTTAATAGGAATTGCCTTAAATCTGTATAAAGCTGTGGTAGTATGGCTATTTTGACAGTATTAATTCTGCCTATCCAGGAGCATGGGAAATCTTTCAATTTTCTGAGGTTTTCTTCAATTTCTTTCTTTAGTGTTCTGTAGTTTTCATTGTAGAGGTCTTTCACTTCTTTTGTTAGATTGATTCCCAGGTATTTTATTTTTTTTGAGGCTATTGTGAATGGAGTAGTTTTCCTAATTTCTCTTTCAGTGGATTTATCGCTGATGTATAGGAATGCATTTGATTTATTGGTGTTGATTTTATATCCTGCTACTTTGCTGAATTCGTTTATTAGTTCTAGACGTTTTCTGGTGGAATTTTTTGGATCTTTTAGATATAGAAACATGTCATCAGCAAAGAGTGATAGTTTGAGTTCTTCTTTACCCATTAGTATCCCTTTAATTTCTTTCTGTTGTCTAATGCTCTGGCTAAAGTTTCAAGGATGATGTTAAATAGAAGTGGTGAAAGAGGGACATCCTTGTTTTGTTCCAGTTTTTCGCGGGAATACTTTCAATTTTTCTCATTTAGAATGATTCTGGCCTTGGGTTTAGCATAGATAGCTTTTTCAATGTTGAGGTATATTCCTACTATCCCTAGTTTTTCTAGTGTTTTGAACATGAAGGTGTGCTGTATTTTGTCAAATGCTTTTTCTCCATCTATTGAGATGATCATATATTTGTTGATCAGTCTATTAATATGATGAATTACGTTTATTGATTTCTGTACGTTGAACCAACCCTGCATCCCTGGGATGAATCCCACTTGATTGTGGTGCACTTTCTTTTTAGTATGTTTTTGTATACAATTTGCCAGAATTTTATTGAGAATTTTTGCATCTATGTTCATCAGGGATATTGGTCTGAAGTTTTCTTTCCTTTGTGTGTCTTTGTCTGGCTTTGGCATCAGGGTGATACTAGCCTCATAGAATGAATTTAGAAAGGTTCTCTCCTTTTCTATTTCATGGAATACTTTGAGGAATATTAGTGTTAATTCTTCTTTGAAAGTCTTGTAAACTTGGCTGATAATCCATCTGGTCCTGGGCTTTTCTTGGTTGGTAGGCTTTAGATGGTGTTTTCTGTTTCATTACTTGAAATTGATTTGTTTGAGTCATGCATGACCTCCTCATTCAGTTTGGGTAGGTGATATGTATCTAGAAATTTGTCGATGTCTTTGGTATTTTTTATTTTATTAGACTATAAATTTTCAAAATAGTTTCTAATTATCTTCTGTATTTCAGACATGTTTGTTGTGATATTTCCTTCTTCATCTTACATTTTAGTAATTTGAGTTTTTTCTCTTTTTCTCTTCACTAGCATGGCCAGGGGTTTATCTTTTTAATTTATTTTTTCAAAGAACCAACTTTTTGTTTTGTCAGTTTTTTCAGTTGTTTCTTTTGTTTTGATTCATTAATTTCAGCCCTGATTTTAATTATTTCCTGTCTTCTACTGCTTTTGGTGTTGATTTGTTCTTCTTTTTCTAGGGCTTTGAGATGTAGTGTTAGGTGATTTATTTGTTGACTTTTTAATTCCTTTAATGAATGCACTCAAAGTAATAATCTTTCCTCTTAGTACCGCCTTCATAGTGTCCCAGAGATTTTGATATGTTGTATCAGTGTTCTCATTTACCTCTAAGAATTTTTTTCTTCATCCTTGATTTCTTCTACTATCCAGTCATCATTCAGTTGTGTATTATTTAGTCTCCGTTTGATACAGTGGCTCCTGTTTTTTATTTTATCATTGATTTCTAATTATTTCATTTCATTGTAGTCTGATAGAATGCAGGGTATTATCTCTGTTTTTTTGTATTTACTAATTTGCTTTGTGGCATAAGATATGGTCTATTTTAGAAAAGGAGCCATGTGCTGCTGAGAAGAAAGTATATTTGCTCGTTGATGGATGAAGTATCCTATATATGTCTGTTAAGTATAAATCATTGATTGTATTATTTAGTTCTGTAGTTTCCTTATTTAGTTTTTGTTTGGAAGATCTGTCCAGTAGTGTGAGAGGTATGTTAAAGTCACCCAGTATTATTGTACTGTGGTCTGTTTGACTCTTGACATTGAGAAGGGTTTGTTTGATGTACATAGATGCTCCATTGTTTGGGGCATAAATATTTATAATTGTTACATAACAATTATACACACACACACACACACATATATATACATTGCTTATGTATACTTCCCTTAGAAGTATGAAATGTCCTTCTTTGTCTCTTCTAATTAACTTTGGTTTGAAGTCTACTTTATCTCAGATGAGAATGGAAACCCCTGCTTGTTTATGTAATCCCTATGCATGATAAATTTTTTCCCATCCTTTCACCTTCAGCCTGTGGATGTCTTTGCCATGAGGTGAGTCTCTTGAAGACAAGCATATTGTTGGGTCTTGTTTTTTAATTCAGTCTGCCAGTCTGTATCTTTTGATTGATGAGTTTAGACTGTTAACAAGGTTATTATTGAGATATGATTTGCATCACACACACACACACACACACACACACACACATCGGAAGTCAACCAGTACGCCCACAAAGAACGAGGTCGACCAGTTGTCCTAATTTCCTGTCATTTTGATTTATTTCTGGTTTTTGATTTGTCTTGGTTTCTCATTTGCTTAGAATGTCTCTTTAGTGTAGATCCTCCTTTTGCTGGTTTTCTCTTTTTTCTCTTGCCCCCCTTTTTGGGGACTTGAGGCCGGGAGCTGGGGAAGCCACCCGATGTCCAGAAAAAGGTATTCCATATCTGTGTGGTTATTTTGTGTCACTCCAAATTTACCTGAGTGACCTCGGTTCAGTAGCCCGTGCTGGCCAGGGCTGCAGTCGTCAGTCTCATTTCTTTTCCCATTCTGTAAAGTATGCAAAGAAAAAGTGCCCTTTTATGACAGAAAGAGGTGATTGTTGAACAGAGAGGATCATTTTTAAATACTCTAGAGACACAGAAAGTGGGCTAAAGGCTTCTCATTCTGATTAGACTCTAATCCTATCAAGAATTCAGAGAACTTTTTTTGTGCTCTTCAAAAATATACAGTTCTTAGTATAAAATTCTTAGTATAAAATTCACAATCCATAGAGATATGGAAGTAATACCAGGGGACAACTTTACTGGTTCAGAAAGGATCCAATCAAAACAGGAAAACATGAAGGGAAGAAGAGCTGAGCTCTGTGCTATCTGGGAACACTTCATGGAGGAGGTGGTGTTTGATCTGGGTTTTCAGTGAAGTTAGACTTTGAAGTGGGGCAGTGGAAAGGGGAGGGGTTGTATCACGCCATCAGCGGACCTAAATGAGTTTGCTAAATTCTTTTACCATTAATTTTTGCACTGGAAAAATAGACACATCACTCCTTCAGAAAAGTTTGGATGATTTTGTGGAAACTGGGATGTAAATGCAGGAGGCATTCCTAAAACACTCAGTAATTCAAAGTGGACAGAACCTAAGGGAAAGGTTGGTGATGAGTGTGTGTGTGTGTGTGTGTGTGTGTGTGCATGCACACTTATGTGACAAGCTGGCTTTGAGCATTGAGTTGGTTGTGAGGAGGTTCTGGAAGCTGATACATTGAATTTTCTGGGGAGAAAGGCACCAACAGAGGTTTCCTCTACTCAGGAGGGACTCGAGCTTAGCAGTAAGCTGGTACCTTCAGGGACCATGGAGACAAATGTGAAGGCTCAGGTAGCATTTCATGTCCTTTCTCTTGTACTCATTCTATAGCCAACACATTTACACCCAGCTCCTTTGCATCTACTATTAATTAAAACACACGAAACCAGGATAAACAGGACAGAGAACGTCTCAGCTCTCAGGAACTAGAGGAAGAGTTGGGTAAAAATAACTGGAAGAATATGTGTGATGCAAAGGGTCTTTGTTCCTGCCAAGTATCTGCAGAGCAGGAAACATTGTTTCTCAGTTATGTTTCTGAACTGATTTTAGCTGTTCCTAAATACACACACACACACACACACACACACACACACACACAATTAACTGAAAGAGTGTGTAATGATTTAAAATACAAGCTAGTGTTTATAATTTTTCTTTTTTGAGTAACTTTTCTCATTTCCCAGGTAGAGTTAATTATCATGTGGCCACAAAATTGTTAGAATTCAACTTCAGCCACTTCGATAGCAAGAAAACACATGTTTGTTGTCGTCGCACTTTAGAAATGTTGATTTTCATGGAGGCCGTTTCCATGATGGATAGGGCAGGTCCAATAGCAGTTTGGGGTCAAAGCCTGTGGCTCTCTTAGATTATCTGTGGCTTTGTTGTGGTTTTGGCATTGTGAATTGTGTTCAGTTTTGCTCTTTGGTGTTTTAAGCCATTTTGTAATGGCCGTGTAACAACTTGAAGCAGTTCAGCCTCTCTGTCGGCTTGTGCTGTGGTGGTGTAAGTGGCTGGCTTAGCGCTCTTGGCACTGGGCCTTCTTCCTATTGCAGCAGCTCCTGCTCTTTGAATACTCATAGTTAACCTCAGGACCTGCCCAGGAAATAGACAGGGGCGTGTTTAGATTTGGAGAAATCCTTTCCTGCCTCTACGCACTAATACTAGCCATTTTATGTAATCCTCCCCACTGTATTAGTGAAACTATTTCTAGATGGTTAGGGTGTTATGGTTTGGGTATAAGGTGTTATCCACCCAAACTCCTGTGTGAATACAGGAATATTCAACAGTGGGATGATTAGATTATGGGAGCTGTAACCTAATCAGTCCATCCTAGTTTGAATGGGCTGACTGGGTGGTAACTGGGCAGTTGGGGCATGGTTGGAGGAGGTGGGTCACTGGGGTGGTTTTCCCTGAGAGATGCATCTTTTCTGTGGCTGCTTGCCCTCTGCTTCCTGGCTGTTATGAGTTGAGCAGTGCTCCTCCATCCCCTGCTTCCACCATGATGCTGCACCTCAGGCTCAGAGCAATGGAATCAGCTGACCATTGACTGAACCTCTGAACCATGGGCCCACAAACGCTTCCTCCTTTAAGTTTTTTTTCTCAGATACTTTGGTCACCAGGTACTGAAAAGCTGACTAACACAAGGGGAAATAACAGGCACACCTCTGGGAAAATACAGCAGTTTGTTTCCTTTCAGTTTCTAATTCAAGAATCAATAGCACTTGCTTCCAGTGTCAGAAGATTTGAGAAAGAGAAAATATACATGAATGGACTGCCACTTGACAGGTCCAGCTATTGCACCCTATAGAGAGAAACTTGAGGAAGCTACAAAGGAATGGTCTTGTTTCAAGGTGATTTTTCAAGAGAGAAACACTTTTGCTGTTTTCTGGGTATTTAATGAAAGAATAAATGCTTTTGAAAAACAATGATACAGTTTGAAATGCACAGTGGCCCTCTCCTCTGTATGACTCCTTCAAATAATAGCTACTTTAAAAAAATTTAGTTGTAGATGGACACAATACTTATTTAGTTATTTATTTTTAATGTGGTGTTGAGGATCGAACCCAGTGCCTCACACATGCTAGGCAAGTGTTCTACCACTGAGCTGCAACTCTAGCCCAAATAGCTGATTTTAATGCTTTGAAGAATGTTCTTTTTGATAATTGCTCAAAAAGTTTCCTCACTGCAATAATGAAATTATTTACCCAGAAATAATTTCACTATTGCAGTGGGAAGGAAGTGAAAGTAGCTAGCATAATGTACATAAAGGCGGGAAAGGATTCTCCACATCTAAACACACCTCTGAATATCTACTGCACTTACTGAAGTTAACAATGAATATTCAAAGAGCAGCATATTTATATTTTATAAAATTCTATTTATCTTATATATATTGTTAACTTTTCACTCAGTGCTATATTATAGACATCTTTCTTTTTTTTTAAAGAGAGAGAATTTTTTAATATTTATTTTTCAGTTTTTCCATGGACACAACATCTTTATTTTATTTTTTTATGTGGTGCTGAGGATCGAACCCAGTGCCCCGCACATGCCAGGCAAGCACGCTACCGCTTGAGCCACATCTCAGTCCTGTAGACATCTTTCTATCATTTATTACATGTAAACATGTTGGATGCTAAATAGCATTTGGTTATCTGGATGAGCATAATTTATTTACTAGCTATATACTAATGGATATTTAATCCTCTTCCATTTTTGCTATGATAATGTATACCCTTTAGTGAGCACTCTCATACTGCATCTGAATATGTTTTCTGTTATTTCCCAAGAATACTTACAACTAGATTTAAAGATATTGATATAGTTAAGCATATGTATAATATATATGTGTATAAAACAAAATGTATAAGCGTATGTAAGCAATATACGTGTGTGTGTGTGTGTGTGTAATTTTTTCACCAGATAATTTTATTTCTTCTTGGTTGAATTGCAAGCATGTTTTCTTTTGTCCATTTTCCTAATGAGGCTACCATTTTCTTAATATTTTGAAGAAATATACACATACATACATACACATACAAATATACACACATATATTCTGTAGTCCATTTTATTTCTTTATAATTTCATGATGCAGGAATTCAGGCAGGGCTCAGCTGGAAGTGCTTTTGTTCTGAGTAGTACCTGGGGTCACTTCTGCATTTAACCGCCAGCAGGGCTAGCCTGGAAGACGCACAGAGATCTCATGCTCACTGGGGTCTCAGTGTTCCTCCAGGTATCCCTTCTCTCCACAGGTTAGCTTGAGAGTACCTGTGGGAGGGAGCAGACATTGGTAGGTGGGACATGTTGAGACACACGGTATGTCAAGTCCTAGTGACTCAGAGTGGGAGCTCTAAACTGTGACTCAGTTCTCTGTTTTCCTTTTTCTTATTTGTTTTGACTTCTCAGGACTCTCTCCTTCCTCAAGAGATTATCATCAAGGTTGAGGGAGAAGATGCTGGGTCACTGGCCATCCCATCCCAGGTGAGGTAACAAAGGCCTTTCTTTACACTGAGAAAGGTAACTGGTGGGTGGTCAAGGCCAAACTGAAGCAGGCTGGGAAGTGAGTGGAACGAAGTGGAGACAAGAATGGGCATCCTTTCCAAGAAATTTGGTTGTTTTCTGAAAGTAAAAGCTGCACAAATACTTGAGATTGAAAGATTTTGTTTATTTTTGAAGGATTGAAATGATTTGGCTCTACTTAAATGGTTACAGTGGAGAAAAAGAAATGTAACAATCAGGAGACAGGAGATGAACTATAATGCAGAGTCTTTGGGCAGTGCTAGAGGAATGAATTTGGTAAATCTGAGTAAATTGGCCCCATATAGGGAGAAGGATTTACACAGGAGGAATGAGGTTGGGGGATTCTCTAAGGCTCATATTTTTCTCTGTGAGAGATCAGATGAGCATGGGGACAGGAATTGGAGTGGAGAGATGTCTGACAAGCATGGCAAAGTCTTAAAATAGTAATTTTGGATTATGACAGAAAAGGGGGCCCTAGTAGGTCTAATAGAATTTCTGCTCAATGGGAAAGGATTGCACAGAGGCAGTGACTATTGTGATACTCTAGCCAGCTGCTTTGGTGGCTTTTTCCTCTGGTATTTTAAACCTCCTTTCTCTAGATCGGAGATTGACATTCAGATTCATTGTTTGTAACTAAATTCAGTGGACCATTTAGTGAAAACTCCACAGGTCAAGGGAACATTTGAAAGAGAATTAAAAAAAATATATCAAAGAGAAAGATTAAAATGACTCTAAAGGGAATAATTAAGATGGAAAAGATAAAGAGGGCCCTGGTTAGAGAGGAACAGAATAAGGACTGGCAGGTGCCATAGCAGACATTTCAGTGGAGGAATTGGTCTCACATCATCAAATAACAAGATTAAAGGGGGAAATGGAGCCAGTAGAGAGGAGCAGTCTGCTGTATTGCATGGCTGCAGTAGGTGTTGTTGGAAAACCCTCAGACCTGGTGTATCAGCTTAGGAGTGAGCTACTGAAAAGCAGTTCCAGGATCAGAGAGCTGGGCTAACCATAGGAACTGATGACTGACGTGACAGTCCCTGTGTCATGCCAGCTTGAGGTTGCATCCCAGCTACCAACCTTAGGCACAAATATGCATGTCTCTTAACTTTCTTGATCTTCATATGAAAAATGGTGCTGCTAATGGTATTTTCTCACAGGAGTCTAGTGAGAATTAAATGTGACCTGTTAAGACACCACCTGACACCACATCTGGGGGGAGGGGGGGTTCACGAGGTTGCTAGGACAAAGCTCCAGGGAGTGAGGTAAATGGCATGATTTCCCCTGTAACCAGGAAGACACATCCTCCTCTTTGTGCCTACATTCCTGGGAGCAGGACCATCTCTGCTGCTCGACCAGCATGCTAGCTTCATACTAGAGGTTCTAAACATAGAAGTTAACTAGTGAGATCAAAATAAAGACACATAAACTCAATTTACCTTTTTCTTTCCCAGCTAAGAGATGGCCCTTCCCAGCTCCTGCCTCGAGCCACCTGGCGATAGCAAGGTTTACACAAGAGACCAGCAGGAGAGAGGAAGGAGCACGCCAGAGAGTGGGCTTTTATTGGGAAACAAAAAATTCAGGGGAAAATTCCATCCAATGAAGGTCGAGGGGGACAGCATTCTAAGGTCAGGGTCAGTGTTTGTTTTTAGGGTCAATGGTCAGTCACACCCCCACATGGACAGGCTCTCAGACCTAAAAAGGGTGGGGATAAGCTCTGACACAGTTGGCCTGAGCGCCTCACACCCAGTCAGGGAGGTACCCAATCACATGTGAGAATGGCTTCCCACAACCATCCTTAGTTTTTGAGGCCTCTGGAGGAGGGGATGGATGGGGAATTATTGGTAAAGAGATTGCAGCTGCAGGAGTTTATTGTTACAGAATTCTGAGGGCACAGTTGAAGAGTGGGAGAAGTTTTGAGGAGCAGGAAGTTTGGGTAGGTGAAACAGTTAAGTGGAAGCCAGGTGTGGTGGTGTGCACCTGTAATCCCAGCAGCTTAGGAGGCCAAGGCAGGAGCAAAAGCCTCAGCTAAGCAACTCAGTGAGACCTTATCTCTAAATAAATACAAAAAATAGGCCAGGGATGTGGCTCAGTGGTTGAGTGCCTCTGAATTCAAACCTTAGTCACCCCCCATATACACACACACACACACAAAAGAATTAAGTGGAGTGGCAGTATAGAAAAGCCATATTTAATATTGATGGACTTGTTCAGATGGGTATGTGATACATCTTCTGTGATTCAGGTGAGAAACGAGGACTTAAATCAGAATTTGGGTGAGAGTTATTCGGAGATATTAGAAAACATTTTATACCATTGATTTATTGCAATAACTTAGTACATTAGATTTAGTATATTTAATATCTACTGTACATTAACACTATTGTTAATCACTGGAATCACATTTGCAAACTGTAAGTACCTTCTTCTTGTCTTCATGGATCATGGCCTAGTGACATAAATGTCTGTTTTGCAAATGATGAGAAATTGTGGTGGGTCTTAAAGGTGGAAGTCCATAGACCTTTGAGAATGGATAGCTAGTATGTAGAGAGAGGGGTACTAATTCAGTCTACTTTTATTTATTTAATACTTGAAAAATCTTAATACAAATGGTACATATGCTAAACTGCAAAGGGGAATGTTAGTTAAAAGGAAGCATGGATTGATATTGATTGTGAAACAGGAACTTAAAAAAGATCAATTTTGTTGACTTTTGTGTCCTGTAAGGAAAATCAAAGGAGACACAGAGACAAGACGCAGAGGCAGGAAAGGGAAAGAAAGAGTGGCTCCCCTCCAAGCAGCTGGGTTTATTTGTATCAAAAGTAACCCAGCTTGTTAGTGCCATGACTACATTATTATTTAGTATTCCTTTAATCCCAGGTGCTGGATACCCGAGGTCAAAGTCCAGGCTAATTAAAACACAGAGCCCTTTTCTCCAAGGATATTACCTTAGAAATTAGAAATTAGAAAGAGTTATCTTACTAGCTTCAAGGAGAAATTGTGGGGCATTCCATGCATGGGAAACAGAGTGCCAGTTCTCCCCCCCACTCCAGAGTTGCTCACCAGAGGAACCTTCCCTGTAYATTCCATGGTCAGAATACCTACAGTGGGCCCTGACTTAGAAAAATGCTTATACAGCAGCATTTTGCATATAGTTTCATGGTATTCAGGACCATGTATCTTATTCATGAACCACAGCTTAAGAACACAGTGGTTAGTCAAATGTCCTTGGGTAAAGACAGGTCACCCTCAGCACTTTTTTTTGGATCAAAATTTCTGCCCAGTAGTCTTGGAAACAGGCTCTTTCTTGCTTAGAAGAGGCAGCCCAAGAGACTCCATTTATATGACAGTAATACAGTGACATCTCCTAACTGAAAATCTTGCCCATAGAAATAGAAGTGTAACCTGAAGACTAAGGTCTCATGATAAAAAGTCACATTGGCTGTCTTTTAATCTTTCAAAGTTCTCAGACTGAAGAATCATAATAGTAACTGCAAGCCTTTGCTGTTTGTTTAGTAAATTTTGCTTATGATTTTTCATATAGCAGTACAATTAATTCTTTCAGCAAACCAATGGTTTGGGTATAATTATGCTTAATAGAGACGGAATAAATTCACCATTAAAAGAGATTGTGAGGGGCTGGGTGTAGTGATGCAGGCCTGTAATCCTAGTGTGTTGGGAGTCTGAGGCAGGAGGATTGCGAGTTCAGAGCCAGCCTCATCAACTTAGTGGGGCCCTAAGCAACTTAGGGAGACCCTGTCTCTAAATAAAACATTAAAAGAGCTGTGGATGTGGTCCAGTGGTTAAGTACCCCTGCGTTCAATCCCTGGTAAACCCCCACCTCAAAAAAAAAAAAAGATTACAAAATGACCAAAAACTATATATATATAAATATATATATACCTAGTAAAACTTCTCAGAATTCAGAATTCTAGTTCAGATTTATACTTTATAGATGAGAAAACCTAAGTCTCTTTTCTTCTGAATTCAGTGCTATTAAACCTGAACATACTGCTTTTCGTTAAGATTTATATTTCATTCTCTGTGTCTCAGGCATTAGCAAAGTCCAGCTTGTGGGCAATTCTGGCCCACTGCCTGATTTTGTAAATAAAGTTTTATTGTGATAGTTAACACTCACTTGTGTATTTTTTGTAATTGCTTTCGGTTGAATAGTTGTGATAGAAACTGTGTAACTTCCATAGCCTAAAATGTTTACTATCTGGCCTTTGACAGAAAAAACATTTTTTTTAGGATTTGGAAGGAATTCATAAGTGGGAATTCACCATACAAAATTCAGAATTAATGTTGTTTTATAAGGTGGAAAGAGAAAATAATTTTTGTTGGTTCTTATCTGGAATTCCTTTTCGGGGTTGTAAAAACAGATCCAGCATCCAAAACCCAAAGGCATCCATACACCTTGACTATAATCCTTTGACGCTGACAATCTTAGGACAACTGCCAGGTCATCAGATTTTCCTACTAACATCTGTCAAACATTTCCTTCTCCATGAACATTGAAAGGAAATGATGCCCAGCTGAGCAGGAATGTGTGTCCTGTTTTAGGAAGAAGTGAACTTCAATATTGTAACTGTGGACTTTACTCATGAGGAACAGGGTACTTTGAACCCTGCTTATAGGATCCCAGACAGAAGTGTGATCCTGGAGAACCACAGGAACCTGGTCTCTTGGGGTAAGTGTATCATCTTCCTTAATGAAGCTGTGTCTCTTTAAATGTTTTCACATCCCTGTTAAGAGCTGTGGGTTCAGCAGCCAGAATGATTTTTGTCCACACATATGTTGTGTTTGTGCTCTTAATTTTTAAAGAAGATGAAATTTGATTTGTAGGGTAGAAAAGGTACAGTTTCTTGGGCTTGAGCTTGTTCAGTCTTAGTGATTCCTAAAGTCCAAAGCCTGGGACCAAATTCTTCAGTGATTCTGTTTTGTCCCAAGCCTGGAGACCCAAAGTCCCATATATCTTTCCTCAACAGCTTTTCAAACCAGACACAATGTTCTAGTTTGAGTGAGGAAAAGAGTATAAAAAGAACTTTCTCATACACATGTCCATTTGAGATCCAAACATGTAGAGGTCCTTGTAGGTGTAGAAGGTTTGTTTGAAAAATCCCTGTAGGAGATGCCACATTTTCCCCACTCTCCTAGTGGACTGTGCACATGATCATTCTTTCTAGGTGTACTGTTCATTGCATTACCTAATAACCACCAAGGCCTCTGTTTTTGAGCATCCTTTCTTGGTTGGAATCACAGGAATCCATGGGCCATATTATAAGATATTTAGGGAACTGGGATAATAGTGCCTCATTCCTTTTTCTGGGTTCATAAATGTAGTTTACATATAGTCTATGGTAGCAGGTTTCACGCCTCCAGTAATTCCTAGTAATGTAGCTTCTAACCTGTTCTGGTGAATATATGCCTTGAACGAATGAGTGTGGGAACGACCCTCTGTTTCTTTGCTAAGGATTGCAAGATGAGGCTGAGATTCTGTGTAGAAAGCCACTCCTAAGTTATTTAGCATCTTCACTTGGCCTTGAGCCAAGGAGATTTCGGTCTGGCATTGCATGCTACTTTGTGGCCCCTCTCACTTATTGGATTATGCAATGCATATGACTTCAGTCTTTGCTGGGCTAGGAAGGCTGCTCTCGTACTTCGGAATTTGGTGTGACCCATTGAGCCTGGACAGCCTACCTCCTGCCTTATTTGGTGAAGAACATTCAATGGATAACCTTTGAAGTTTCCTCAGGTATAATAAAGCAAACACAGGCTCCTGCTCTCTCTCTCTTCCCAGTGTGGAAACTGGACCTCTAAGGTTGTAGAGACCCCCTCCCCACTGCTTTCCAAAATTACTTTCTGTGTAGTGTGGTTTGTTCAATGCTTCTTTTTCTTAGTTCAATTTTATAGCCAGCCCACCTCACACAGGTAAGACCCAAATTCCATTGCCCTCGTGGGACATGGGTGAGAATTCTGTATGTTCTGCATAGGTGATCTTATTTTGGAATTGGCAGACACTTGGTATTCAAAGTCTTGCTCACCTAGACAAAAGTAAGATTAAAAATAGTTTCATTTGAATGCCCTGTTTTACTATTGGACTGTGGGAATTTGGTACTTAACTGCTTATTTCCATCCTTTTGCTTTTTCAACCCAGGTTTTAGGTCCATAGCTGATAACAAATCCAGTTTTTCCAGTTTTTTCTTATCAGCTTTATTTCTCTATTTGAGCTCTAACATTTTTTGTCTAGGATGTCTTATTTTGCTTTCTTTCAGACTTGGCAACTGCACTTGGAAGGAGAGAATCAACTTCAAAACAGAGCATTTTTGATGTGGAATCATCACCTGGAGTAAAGATAGAAAGGTTGACAAGAGATGATCCTTGGCTATCTTCATGTGAAGAAGTTCATGATCATAAGGATCAGTTGAAGAAGCAACAGGAAAAGCAAGAGAGACTTTTTCAGGAAATGGCAGTCACTCAAAAGAAAGCTATTATTCATGAGAAGGTTTGCAAAAGTGATGAACTTGAGAAGAGTGATCTAAATCCCAGCCTTCTTTCACTCCCAGTGATACCCATAAGAAACCATTTTCATAAACATTTGTCACATGTTAAAAAATCTCATTATAATTCTGTTGTAAACAGTCATCAGAAGATTAATGACAGTGAGAAATTATGTGAAAATAATGAATGTGGAAAACTCCCTCAGAGCATCCACCTTATTCAGTTTACAAGAACTCAAAAAAGAGATAAGTCCTATGAATTTAGTGACACTATTCAACCTTTTAGCCACAGAGCATCCCTAAATATACATGAAAAAATTGATGAAGAAGGTAAGACCTTTGATTTTAAGGAATGTGGGCAAGTTTTGAACCATGACATATCCTTTAATGAACAGCAGAAAATTCCTGTTGAAGAGAGTCAGTATAAATGTAGTAAAACTTCTCAGAATTCATCCCGTGCTCAAAATATGAGAAATAATTCTGAAGAAAAACCTTTTGAATGTAATCAATGTGGGAAAGCCTTTAGCTGGAGCTCACATCTTGTTGCACATCAAAGAACTCACACAGGGGAGAAACCTTATGAATGTAATGAATGTGGAAAATCCTTCAGCCGGAGCTCCCACCTCGTTTCCCATCAAAGAACCCATACAGGAGAGAAACCTTATAGATGTAATCAGTGTGGGAAATCCTTTAGCCAGAGCTACGTGCTTGTGGTACACCAGAGAACTCATACTGGAGAGAAGCCTTATGAGTGCAACCAATGTGGAAAGTCATTCAGGCAGAGCTACAAACTAATTGCACATCAAAGAACACATACTGGAGAGAAGCCCTATGAATGCAGTCAGTGTGGGAAATCATTTATCCAGAGTTATAAGCTTATTGCACATCAAAGAATTCACACTGGAGAAAAACCCTATGAATGCAATCAATGTGGAAAATCCTTTAGTCAAAGTTATAAACTTGTTGCACATCAGAGAACTCACACAGGGGAAAAACCTTTTGAATGTAATCAGTGTGGAAAATCTTTCAGCTGGAGCTCTCAGCTAGTGGCACATCAAAGAACTCACACTGGAGAGAAACCCTATGAATGTAATGAATGTGGAAAATCTTTTAACCGCAGTTCTCACCTTATTATGCATCAGAGAACTCATACCGGGGAAAAACCCTATGAATGTAATCAGTGTGGGAAATCCTTCAGCCAGAGTTATGTTCTTGTTGTGCATCAGAGAACTCATACTGGAGAAAAGCCTTATGAATGCAGTCAGTGTGGGAAATCCTTCAGGCAGAGTTCATGTCTCACTCAACACCAGAGAACTCATACTGGAGAGAAACCCTATGAATGTAATCAGTGTGGGAAAACATTTAGTTTGAGTGCTCGACTTATTGTACATCAAAGAACTCACACTGGAGAGAAACCATTTACATGTAATCAGTGTGGGAAAGCTTTCATTAATAGCTCTAAACTTATTAGGCATCAGGCAACTCATAATGAAGAGAAATCTTATGAATATAACTAGTTTGGAAACTTATTCCATTTGTTTTTTAAAATTTATTTTAAGAAAGTGCATTTGGTGGGAAGGACTAGTATAAAATGATGCATGTGGAAAAACTTTTAGTTAATCTTCTTTTATTGTATATCTGGAAATCCATTTTCAAGAAAGGGAGAAAGCTGTGAACTACATATTTTAACTTAGCAATTCCATGAGCAGTGTCAGACTTGGCCCTTATGTACATCCTACAGATGTAATAAATACTGACCCTTTTCCTTGCAGATAACACTCAGATCTGAATCTGAGAGAGAAAACCAGTTAGGTAGACCTTTCTCCCCTCATAGAGTAAATGAAATGCTTGTTGTAGAGAAGATTGAAAAAGTGTTGTAGTTCGTAAAACTTAGGCTGGAAAACAGTTTTTCAGAGTGTCATTCTACTACTTAAGTTCTCCATTAGATAGTTTGGGATCTGTTTTGTATGGTGCTTTGTTACAAGTGAAGATTTTATAAACATTAGGAAACTGGCCATGATATGAAATGAAAAACAGGACAAAAATACAGAAATTTTCTTTTCTAGAACCATTATGATGTTTATGTATAGATTATAATTGAAAGGGATAATGGGTACATCTAATTGATATTATGTTTAATGTCAGGTTTTCTTTGTTTTCTGGAATTTATGCTGTTTTGCAACAAGAAATGATATAACGAGTACAAGTTAGTTAAAAACAACAAAAGGCACAAAAATTACCATCTTGTTTGACCATTTAGGAAACACTAAACAGCCAGATAGCAAAGATCCCTCAGGGTTCTGAAATTCCCATTTCATTTACCATGAGTAGGCTGCTCCTTAGGACTTGGATTCCCAGGAATGTTCTTTGTTGAAAATAATTCCTTGGGAGTAATGCATAATTGGAATTTAGACCAGAAAGGGTCTGTATGAGCAGTTGAGAACATGTGGGCAGTACAGGGAGTGAATGAGCTTATTTTCATATATTCAGAGCAGGATAAAGGAGCACTGTTTCTAAGTGGGGTTTTTCCTCCCCATGTTTGGTATTATTATTTTTTCTCTGGAATGTGTTCCTAATGTGAGGGTCCCCTGAGTGTGCATGCGTGTGTGTGTGTGTGTGTGTGTGTGTGTGTGTGTGGTGCTACTCTGGCTGAGTGCTCTTCATTTAAATTAAGCCTGCAAGAGTGCTTTCTAGTCAAGCAAATTTTATAGGTACTCTTCAGTTTTTAAGATTTGTTTCATATACCTTCATGACCCTTGTCCCTGAATCATAAATTCTGATCCTGTAGGTAATCATGTGCCTAAAGCCTCTGTTCTTAAGTAATAACAAAATAAATGGAGAGATGAACTGAGAGCAGAAAATAGAGGTAAATTCTTTGGAGAAAAGGAAGAAAACCTAAAGTGATATCTGGTAGGGGTAATTAGTAACATTCTGTCCCCATGAAATGACCCTTGGGAACCATCTCTTTGAGGAATAAGCCAGAGCATGTGCCAAACCTGACAATGACAGAAAGTCTCAGGGGACAGTTGTTGATGGCGAGAAACCTTGCTTCTATCCCAGGAGAATCAACTCTTAGTTCCATTCATTGACTTTTGGAAAGGACATGGAATTGTGGAAAATCTTAGTTTAACAACGAAAACTAAATAGTCTCTTCCCCCAATTATAAAGGCAAAGATCTCTGATTGTATAAATTAATATAAATACAGATGGGTTAAAAATTAGGGCTCTGAAGATTTCAAGTTTTGGAAGTGATTTATTCCAAAGAAATTTCTTCAGTAAATGAAATATTTCATCAACAATGTGAAATTTGTAAAACTGTAAAAACATTTGAAATGAGTATTTGTGTGAGTGGTTGTGTGTGTGTGTGTGTGTGTGTGTTTTCTGGCTACCTGGCAAGGTTGAATATGTGTGTCATGTTTGTGTCATAAATGTATCAGTTCTTAGGTGGTGATTTATGGTTGCCAAGTGTTTGAAGTGAAATAGATTTTAATAATTAAAAAATTGGAATAATTTTCTGTCATTTATTCAATAATTTTCCTTTGCAAGAAAGGTGTGATAATTCCAAAATGATCAATCAAAAATAAAGAGAAGTATCGACATACCAAAAATATGAGTTAAATTTCTTAGCCTAAAGTTTAGGGCTAAGAAAGGGTATTCAATAGCTTGATTTTAATTACACACACATGACTGTGTATACATTCACACACAGACTGAGCATCTCTAATCTGAAAATCTGAAATCTTAAATGCTCCCAAGTCCAAAACATTTGAGTGCCAAAATGATGCCACAAATGGAAAATCCCACTTGTGGGATTTGTGTGACAAGTTACAGTAAAAGTGCAGGCATACTTAAATTACCTAAGTTATAGTGTAAATTGTAAAATTGTCAAGTGTCTGTGAAACAAATGAATTTCATGTCTAGAGTTGGGTCCCATCCCCAAATACCTCAGTATGCCTATGTGAATATTCTAAAATCTGCAATTCAAAGTACTTCTGGTCCCAAGTAATTTGGATAAAAAATATTGGAACTCTGTACATGTTTTACAGGCCAGATTTCATTTCTTTCATTTTACTTAGTATAATTGGAAATAAAAGTGATGGAAGTGTTTTTAATATCTGGATGTTAAGAAATCCTCTTCTAGAACTAATTTTTCAAAGAGTAATTCAAAACTGAATTTAAAACTGCCTAAGAATTATCTACAACCATACTGCACTAATAAAACATGTGTAAAGAAAAAACTGCCAGGAAGCAGGAAGGTGACTCCTCCGACCAGAAGCTTTTCCTTTGGTTCTGTATTTGGTTAGTTCACATTTTTCTTCACCACAACTTTCCTTTTGAGAGGACAAAGAACATATTGACTCCTGCAACACACTTTATGGCAGTGTGAAACCCTAAGGATGTTAATTTCTGAACTTTCTGCATTGTTGAAAAATGTCAAGGATATGCCATTAACCTGAATTACTAGTTTATTTAAAAGTGACAATAATATGTACAGGTGATCATAAGTGGATCTGTTGAAATTTTAATAGTTGAGGAAAAGATTAAATAGAACAATGTCTACAAAAAGGCCAGAAGTTTTTTCATGATGAAATTTCAAATTCATTTATCTAGTGTTATCATTCTCTAATAGTTGTATGAACATTCCATTATTGATACTCGGTATATGTATTATTATGTTGCTCAAGGGTAGAGGGAGTTGCAATCTCTTAAAATAATCTCATGCTTTAATTAGATGCAAGTTCAGTTTGCTGATTGTATTGATCATCTAGATTTGTATGTAACACATCAGTTCCAAGATGTGTTCCCAAGAAGTAGAGCACTCAAGTCACCACAGCTTCCCCCATGTGGTGCAGCCTCAACCTGTGTCCCACTAAGGAAGATAGGATGACTGGGTGGGAAGACAGCATGACACTGGGGTATTGTTCTCTGYACTGGGTAAAATCCAGTTGTACGTTTTGTTTTTTATTTAAAAGGAAGACTAATGTTTTTGACTTTAAATGAAACTAAATTGTGGCTTTTTGTGATTATGTATGAGACACTCAAATTGTTTAGAAAACATTGAATTTAAAAACTTTTTAAAGTAAAATATGGTGACTAGGTTACAGCTCAAGTTAAACTGTAAACAGCAACCCTTACAGGCTGAGCAGCCTCTCCGGTCACGTCTTAACCTGTGGACCTATCTATTGTGCAGCAGGTGATCTGGAGCCAGGGCTCTTTGGTGAACAGCTTACCTTAAGGCCGAAAAATTAAAATGGACTTAACATTTATGGCCAATAAGTAACACTCTCAGAGACATCTGTGTCATGTTTTATAGGCCACAGGGGCCTCTGACTCAAGCAGAGCCACCCAGGCAGGAACGCTGATCTTTGAGAAAGCCTTAGTTACGGACACATAGGTCAGGCTAGGTCTGCAGGATCAAGAGTGCTAAAGTGCAAACTGGGATTCTGATAGTTCTCACAAAAGACGTTTAATATTGATCAACCCAAAGTGTCCTGCATGAAAGTTGTTAGCAGTTATTGTTATATAGTCTCTGTAGGAAATGGAACCTTCTCCAGGCTGATTGCAAACTGTGGGTGTTTTCACACATTGAAAGGAGCACCTAAAGGTATAGATTATCGCCCCTTATTATCTGGTACTCAAGTTGACCTCTTCATTACTTGTCTTTAGTGGGTAGGTGTGTGGGCTGCATGAGGATATAGATGTGATTAATAAACGGACTCAACCCCCTTGGAATATGTGGTCATGGTTATCATTGAAGAGATGGGTAAAATGTTAACAGGGTCATCCTTTGCTCTTTGTTAAAACGTAGGAAGAAAACAAGGATGAAAAAAATTTTTTTTTTAAAGAATTTTTTTAGGGGCTGGGGATGTGGCTCAAGCGGTAGCGCGCTCGCCTAGTGTGCGTGCGGCCCGGGTTCGATCCTCAGCACCACATACAAAAAACGAAGATGTTGTGTCCGCCGAGAACTAGGAAAAATAAATAAATGTTAAAAATTCTCTCTCTCTCTCTGTCCCTCACTTTCTCTTTAAAAAAAAAAAAGAATTTTTTTTAATATTTATTTTTTTAGTTTTCGGTGGACACAACATCTCTGTTTGTATGTGGTGCCGAGGATCAAACCCGGGCCGCACGCATGCCAGGCGAGTGCACTACCGCTTGAGCCACATCCCCATCCCTGAAAAAAATTTTTTAATGAATATAGCTCATCCCAGCACAGGGGGGTAGGTAGGGGGAAGACAAACATAAATTCCTCATTCAGGAGACAAACCTTAAGGGGAAGAAATATAGATAACAGATGTAAAGTAGTAGATGGCCAAGGGAAGATTAGGGACTCAATGTTTTTAAAATGTCAAATATAATTATTCCTGCTTCCTGCTCCTCTTCACCCCTGGTCCAAATCCTTGCTCATGAGGTTCTCAAATATTTAGAACACAAAGAGTCATATGCCATATAATGACACTTCAGTCAATGACAGGCCACATATACAATGGTGGTCCCTTGAGATACCTCCTAGTGACATCGTGTAACTACACTCTGATGTTGGCAAAAGGGCAGAATCACCTAACAATGCATTTCTCAGGACCTACACTGATTTTTAAGCATCACATGACTCTGGGGAATAACAAGGAGTCGGCATTAAAATAACAGATAATTTAGTTCAGTGTGAGGTAGGATAGAGGGTATGAGGATGGATGGAAAGGAGACTAACAGGCAAGATAAAAGAAAGTGATCTTAAATCCTAGAAGCTCCATGAGCACTCCCACCTTTATTCCCCAAGCCGGTTTCCTCCAGATCAAAATTCTTAAAAAGCCCTGAATCTTAGAGTATCATGAGTCTAGGTAGTTGATACCTACATACATTGCCAGCTTTCTTAAGATTAAATAAAGCAGAGGGAAATTATTGTGAGACTTATGCAGAGCCATAAGATATGGGTATATATCAAACATTATCAACTGAATGACATCAGCTCTTGATCCTGAAAGAATCAGACTATTGTGACCAGTCCTGTACACCATGAGAATTGAGCTCCCCAGCTGACATCACTCGCCCCCACATACTTCTAAGGCTCACTATTTACAAAATTCCCTTTAAAAAGAAGAACCCACGATCACCAAAGTGTGGAGTGCCCTCAATCCTTCTCACTTTGGGTGTGTATCCTGCTCTATTTCTTGCTTTCTGGAACAAATCTTGCTTTCCTAAGTGAATCTTTGTTCATGCCTCTTTTGACACACTCTGAAATGCCTTTCTGTGGCATAAGTCAAGAACCTGCCAGGGCCACTGAATTTGGTACATGCTTATAATCCCAGTAGCTGGAGAGGCTGAGGCAGAGGATCTCAAGTTCAAAGTCAGCTTCAGCAACTTAGTGAGGCCCCGAGCAACTCAGCAAGATCCTGTCTTAAAACAAAATGGGCTGGGGATGTGACTCAGTGGTTAAGCGCTTCTGGGTTCAACCCCTGCCCCCCACCCCCAATCCCTGCCAGGGCTAAGTTGAGATCCCCTTCTCCCAACAAACCTTTTCATTTTCATGGAGGGTTCTTAAACCTTGCCACGCATCCAAATAGAGGAAGGGAACCTCCTTTTACAGAGATTTTTTTGCATCACTGGGGCTCAAGGAAATTCACAATGACTCTCCTGATCCTAGAACTACAGCATGAGAACCATAGCAGCAGTTGGTTTTAAGTGTTTGAGAGTGGAATTAATTTACATTAACTTGCTTTTTCTTAATGTTAACGAAGTTGAATGTAGTTATTAGTCATCTGCAGGTACTCTTTGGAGAAATGCCTGCTCATGTGTTTTTGCCCATTTTCTAATTTCTGATTGGATTGTTTAATTTTGTACCATTGAGTTATTTGTATATTCCAGACACTAGCCCTTTATTTAACATATGATTTTTTGGAAACATTAATTGCTTGGAAACCAATTTATTTAGGTTGTGAATTCATAAAGAATGTGCCCCTGTGGTGTTCATGGTGGGATGTGTGGTTTGTAATTTTTTTCTTCCAGCGTGTAATTTGTCACTCCACCCTCTTTATAGCATTTTTCTGTTGGACCCTGAGGAGCCGCGCACCGCAGAGGGTTGTGGGAAATGTAGTCCGGGCCCTTCAGAGGCGCGCACTTCCGTTTCCGGCCAGCACAGCAGGGCGGTTTCTTAAGTTCTGGCGAGTCTAGGTGGAGACGTGCGTCTGTCTCCCTGTGTTATGGAGGGGTGGCGGTGGTCTTTGTCTCTCAGGGACGGTCTGGTCTCTAGCAGTTGGGGGAAGAGGCGGCCTATGCGGGAAGGTCGGAGCCAGGCGGTTTCGAAGAGCGGGGGCTGAGGAACAAGCGTTGGAGGAGGCGGCACTCGGACCCCACACTTGGAAAGGGCACTTTGAGGTCGCTCTGCACCTCGGCTTTGAGACCGGCGTCTCTCAATTAGGAGACTCTGAGCACAACAGTGGGGTGTTGATGCTGCC